CGGAGAAAAGGTGGCGGAACTCAAACCTGGCCACGCCCTCATCAAACCCTAGGACCGCCCCTTTAGAGAACAGGAATGCAAGTAAAATTTGGGAGGGGCTATTTCCGGTGTGGGAGGGGCTATTTCCGGTGCGGCCGGCCCGGAAAAAGGTGCCGGAACGCCGTTCCGCCGCGTTCCGGCTGAAAAAAAGCCCTGGTAACAGCTGATAAATTTTCAGCAGTTATTTAAAGCTATGTTAGCTGTTGGTATTGGATGAAGTATAATAGCGATGAAAACCCCTTTGGGCTTGGAGTATCAAAAATTTGGGAAGTGCTCTCCCTACCTTGTCACCACAGCTTCCTCCCTGAATAAAAGAGAGACAATTCTCTATCTCTCGCTGCCCCCACTACACAATCTGGGTTACTGTGAAGCAGTCCTCGGCAGCAGTGAAGGTCCTCCACTTCCGCTGTTGCACCAGTGCTGTCACTCAAAAAGGCTGCCTCGTGCCATTCTCCAAGGCGTGCAAGCCTCGTGGAATGGCGCAATTGCCCCCACAAACCCCACAAATTGCTCCCCTGGATCTGCTGCATGCTGCTTACTTTCAGATGGTGTTCTCTTTCGTTGATAGGTCCCTATTGCCTACCGGAGGCTGCTGTGGTCACATGAGCTTTTCATTCTTGCTGCAGCAGCTTTGGAAAATACTCTTCCATGACTTCTGCAGTCTCCAGAAACCTTGTGAAAGCACAGCATGTTCTTGCATGATTTTCAGAGAACAGGGCATGCTTTTGAGTGTAGTTGTCAGACGTTGGTGAACATTGGCATAAATGCTAGTATGCCATACAGAACTTTGTGGTGTGTCAGCTTTGACACACATCTATTAGGTTCACCATCAAAATATATATCACTTCCCAGACTGGGTACTTTATTCTTTATTCTTTTTAATGAACGAAGATCAAACCATTTAAATAAATGCATTATGACTTGCCATTATTTTCAGGTTTGATTCTACTTGGCAAATGGCGTTTGATTTCCCGGTGACATTAAGTTACACGTAACAATTTGGGAGACTTAATAGATCTGATCACGTTAAGACGCAGATCATCGGGTTTTTTGTTTGTTTATTTGTTTGTTTGTTTTAAATCTCAAAATAGGAAACATACCGGTAATATTGATCTTCCCTATCTGGCACTCTACAGATCTGTTAGGTTCACAGCTATCTGGAATTTTGAAGTCTCGGTGCATCTGGAAGATGAGATGGCCGTGTTATATTTTTGACTTTGCTGAAAATGTACAAAAAAGGAATTTTGAGGGGAAAATAAATCAGAAGAATGTGGTTAAAGAGCTTTGTAAAAAATGAAGTAATTTGTGTTTGGCTTAATGAGGATGAACTCTTGGTGAAGATGATCAGACACTATAGTTCAGCCATATTATTGTACTGGGCTGCTAGTTCCTATTTCCTTATTGTAGCACTTGTTGTAGCATGGGAAGAGACACAGCCTTGACATCATATTCTAATCAAACTCTGCATCATTTGCTTGCATTATGCTACATTAGACACACCCATTTTGCATGTTAAATATTAAGCAATTTCTGGGTGTACTTTTAAGAAATATCAGGTTTTTTGCATGGGATCGATACTCTGGGTAAATAGAAAAATACATTGTTGAAATGCCATAGCCTAGGAAGCATTAAGCTTGGCCTCCTTAATAAAGTATGATCACACAATTAGTTCACAATACCACAGTATTTATAAGTGGATCAGGAATATTGTATCAAATTTGGTTTACTTTTTCTGGGTGGTGCTGCTTCTTAAATTTCATGGTATTTATTTTTTGTTAAAGTAATATAAAAAAAGAAATTGTCCTAATCTGAAATAATCAACTGTTGCCACATAAGTAATAGTTATGGGTTCTTTAATCATTTTTCTCATTTTTATATTATGGTTTGTAATGCATTTCTACTAGTGTAATTAATATTATTAGATTACTTCTTAACATTCTTTTATCTTTGTTTTGCTTCTCAGCTTTTTGATCATGTTGCTGAATGTCTGGGAGACTTCATGGAGAAACAAGAAATTAAGGACAAGAAATTACCTGTTGGGTTCACATTTTCATTCCCATGTAGGCAATCTAAACTAGATGAGGTATGTCTAATCACAGGTTTGCAGAACTTACATTGTGGGTAGAACATAGGAAACTGTTTTTATAAAGTGGATTGGGTGCTCATTGGGTACATTCACATTTTAGACTTAGCTTTCTGATAGTTAAATAGTGAATATATCTCCTGGGAACTCTGTATCAGGCCAGTAACTCTTATTGCAGCCTATCATAGCTTTACACAGTGAATTCCTGGTTTTCCTTACGTTAGTAGGATTAAACTTATCATAGAGGGTGAGTTGCAAGTAGCCTTTGGAATCAGCAGTTGTATGAAATCCTAGAAAGGTGTTCTTAAATGTATTGTGCGATAGTCACTGAATACCTTTTGAACTATTTAGAGTTACAGAAGAGGCAATTAAAGTTGTAATAGCTCTGTATCAACAAATTTGGAGTGAAATGGTGTGATTTTGAAAAAAAGTTGTGAACACCAAAGAAACAAATACCCGGGTTACATGCTCATTCGGAATGCTAGCAAAATTTTGCGTAGAATCTTATAAAGAAAAATAGGCACCTGCAAAGGGACAGAAATGCTGCATTAATAGGAAGGTTTCCCAAAAGGCAGGGGGACATGTCATAGGTTAAGTAGCATGAAATGAATAATGGAGACAACAAGAGAATACAAGATTTCCTTTCGTTTCATTGACTTGAACAAGGCCTTTAACTGTGTAGATCAGTGGTTTTCTGGCTGGTGAATTCCGGGATTCGAAGTCCACACAACTTCAAGTTGCCAAAGTTGAGAAATACTGATGTAAATGATGCCAGGATATGTGTGCGTGTAATTAGGAATTAGTAAGGATAAAATTGTGCAGAATGGGGAGAAAAATGAGAGGAATTATTGCCCCTGCATTTGTGTAATTTAAAAAACAGCAAATATAAAGAAATAGCAAGATGGAAAAAGATGGAAAAACTTAATAATTTGAGATATGCAGACAACACCACATTCTTTGCTGAAAGAATAGAAAATTTTGCTCATTAGGCAAGTAAACATAGAATGTGAAAAATCTAGGTTAGCAGCAAATATGAAGAAGACAAAAATAATATTCACTTGTACACTTAGCAATCCTATAGTTGATGACAAAAATATGAAGGTAGCAGATAGTTTTGTTTTCTTTGCTCAAGAGCTGAT